TCAATAAAGAATTTGATTTAATACGATTTATAATCGTTTTTTGTTTCAAACAAACATGATCTACGATTAATTTTTCAAAAACATTGAAGATAAATCATAGCACTATACCCTAACAGCATACTTTTACAAAATTTTAGAATCATTTTGGAGAAATATGGATGCTGAATATTTAATGTTAAGAATGATTGTTGGTAGTTGCGGAAGCCACAAATAGCACCTTTTTTGTGCCTTTACGAGCGATTTAACTGCCATGACTGAAATAAAATGGAGTCATTTTGTCGAAAATATCAAAAATTCAAGTTTTATGAGTCGAATCAAGGTCAACATTTCATTGCTACCGTACAGAATAGGAAATGATCATACAAGTGGAGGATATTTACAGTGAAACACACGCTCACAAATATAAAATGTTGAAGAAGCGATCATTAATAGTGTAAAACCAATACACAAAAAGAAGATGGAGTTAAAACTATTTAAACATTTCCTTATATTTATACAGAGTAGGAAATGATCATACAAGTGGAGAATAAGATGAAATTTTCTATAGGTTCCGGTAGATTTCAGTCAACTGGAATAATTTATGCAAATCTAAACCAGTAGCACAGATTTGATGAAAATTGTTTTTTAATAGAATATTTTTAGTAAATTAAATTTTCATCGAAATTATTTTACTGATTGCAACTTGTCAGCTACACCTTTATTACGTAAAATTTCATCTTGCTCATCCAAATTCTTTCTTTTTTTTGAGGAAGCAATACGACAAATTGAGAAGATCGTTATCCAATTTGAAATGTTAACCATTAGCAGTGACTATAATCTGTTTGAAAAATGCATTTTCATCCGCTTCTTTCATCCCATATCTGGTACAAATAATGATCGGATGTACAGTAAACGAAAGAAAAAGAAACAATCAAACAAGATTTCCTACACATTTGTGTATAAGTCCAATAATTAGAAAAAATCTCATAAACTACTGACATCTGTCTCATTCTAACATATGATAAGAAATGTGTATCATTTTTCGAAATGATAAGGTAGTGATAACACTTCCAGCGCAGTCTATTTTCTCAAATTTTGAAACTTTTGGGTTATGAGAGATAACTTCCTCAACAATTTTCGCTGGTTTAATATAACAGATACCTGATGGAAACAATTATTTTAACATAAAGATCAAAAGTGAGAGTACTGATAACACAATTGGCCACTTTATATTTCGCTCACTTCTTTCATTTTACTTCGAAATTGATGAAACATAGCAGAGTAAATTTGCAATTCAACCTCTTTTTTGTCCGTCATCACGTATTACGTGCTGTCGTTATTTTATTGTAAATAAATTACAGAAAAATTTTAGCACAGGCCATGTTAAAAGTTATTGTACTCCTCTCAATACAGTTAAGGATCAACAGTTATACTCTCTCAATACTATTAAGGGTTAACAGTTATTGTACCTCTCAATATTATTAAGGGTTAGCAGTTACTGTACTCTCTCAATACTATAAAAAAAAGTCCTATTTTTGCCCCTGTTTTAAGGCAAAAATATAGTTAGTAGCGACAGAAAAACATCAGACCCAGTTGCTTCATTGCTTTACTGTCTTTCTAAAAGTTCCATAAGAAACACTAATCTCTCTTTGGCGGTGCTTTTTTTTAAAGTTTATGATGCCCCGTCAAAAATATATCTTTTAATACAATAGCTAATTACCATAACAGGAGATCTTAATTAAAATGGAAATTCGTGTACTTTTTCTCCATGCTTATACATCATCCAATCTATTGTTACGCAACATGATAAAATATGAATACGAGATCTTAAGGAAGCTCTAATTTAAAACTTTAAGATCAAAAGAAAACAAACAAAAGCTAATTAACAGTATAAGTATAATAGAGTGTCAATGTCACATACTCATTTCAAATACTAACGATATATTATTGCAATCGTTTTAAAAACTAAAAAAGCATTGCAGAATAGGTCCCACGAAATGACTCTCAATATTACAGAGAAAGTAGACCATTGTACATCCAAATAATTCTGTCGGAAAATTTCATATGTTTACTGCTTTCCACTTTCACTAACACTATGGAATATCACTTTATATAAGTGATTTGAATAAAGAAAAAATTAGCACGCATACAAGTGAAAAGAAATTAAAATATGATCTAATATGGAAAGTCAAGAGAGGTTACAAATAAATAAAAAAATAAATGTAATTTCAATGAAAAATGAGCAGAGAAAATGAATAGCGGATAAAACTTCCTGTACATTACCTACATAATTAAATCTTCTCCAAGTAATTAATTTAATTCAGAGCTTTGATAAGAAGAAAGGCAAGTTTAAAGTCAGTTATGATATAAATTAAAACTGGTGACACTAAACTAACAAAATAGAATATCAATGTACAAGCGCTGCAATCAAAATTCTGGAAAGAAAACACAGTCATAAAATTAATTATGGCGCTTGATAAATCATTTTAACGCATCAATTCCAGGTTACTGTACCTTTCGAGATAAATTTTACTATATTAGATGCCTGAAATGAAATCTAATATTTTAAAGCAACTACAGCACACCCTCACAAGCCTTTTTGCCATAGCAACCGCAAGCCTTTCTGTCATAGCAAATATGTCACAGAGACAATGAAGTCCTACATATTCCAATTAGGCGTGCCACAGTTAGCACAGAACTACTTAAATATTTACATTAGCTGATACTCACATTGGTTTGGTCAGTATTCTGTTACACAGCACCCCTCTCACAACTCTTAAAATATCGTTCTTTAGTCTTCATCTCAACCCTTGCTAGGAATACAACTTAAATCATGCGTTTTGTCCCGTTTGTATAATAGAAATATTATTCTTTAGTCGGAGAAGGAATTTAGATTGTAGTCAAATGGCAAGATGCAAAGAAAACTTCACCTTCCGTTACCTCCCCCCCCTCTCGTCCTTTATCGTAATCGAGAAGAAATAAGACTCTTCAATGTTCTCATTCTTTCTGTCAATCGCGTCTGTGCAAAGTGAAGCGTTCCCTATTTAACCTGCCGAATAACTAAAAGAAAATTAAGTCCTGTTATCAACATGAAAAAAAATTTTATGATAGAGAACAGCTTCAAGCCTGTAACAGGAGAGAGACATTGGAACGGTGTATTCCGAAGTATGAAAAATGATGTCATCGTACTCAGTCCGGTTTTCCATTTACCATGCAACATAACGAATACCACATATGACTGAAACATCTGTAGGTAATCATTAATAGAAATTGACATGTTTCATGACAAACATTACACATAAAGTATGGGAGGAGTAAATAAATATATCATGTAATTTGTTTCGAGCTGCCACTCTTTTTAAAAATAACAATGAAGTGAACGAGATAAAAAAAGTTTAACTTTGTTTTAAGGATACAGCACTGGAATTGCAAAGAGGATATAGGAAATGCGACATTCACTGTAAACGACAACAACACACACCGGTCTTAACTTATTACGGTAATTTTCTAAAATTTTTGTTTCCTCATAAAAAACAAATATGAAGTCCGATGTAAAGAAGGGAAAAGGAGGCAGCTTTAATACCAGCGATGGATCCTGTAAACAAATGCCTAAAACTTTTACTCCCAAAAAATTATTTCCTTGAAAAAGTCAAAAATCATCTTGATAATGAAGGAGCACATTTTTAAAGAAAAAAAGACAAGAACTCAAACCTTGTTTATTCAATATAAAAACAAATTATTGAAAAGCTGATAAGAATGATTTTCAAAAATTCTTTTTAGATAGAAAGAGACCCAACTTTAAATCATCCATATAGTGAATGGGATGGCGTTTCTACCAAATGAAACGAATAACTGCAAAAAGTCATATAATATTCACTCAAATAGTTTGAGATGGGTTTTAAGATGGTCCAAAATAATTGCAAACCCGCTATAAAAAATTTTAAAACATAACTGCAAACTTTACATCGCAAAAAACATTTCAATAAAAAATATAATATAAAAAAATGAATTTTAGATTCTTATTGTACAGAAATGCTTAGATAAAAATCAGTTTTTAAGCCTCCATTAACATAAAAAGTCACAAAATGAATAATACTGACATGCAAAAGCTTAATGTTCCCTGAATGCTACGATCATTATAGCATATATTGAATGTATCAATAATTTTATGCTATAATTTATGCAAGTGATAACTTGACTGCTCGTTCAATAATTACTAACTATCTACATCAGTCTCCAAATTGATACTTTCGCCAAATTTTTCATAAAGTATCGATTTCAAGTAGTCCATTTCGTCGCAAATTTTTTTGTGCTTTTGTGTGAGATCAGATACTTGATTGCCCAATTCTCCTTTCACATTTTCTAGCTTTTCGTTCAATCTTTCCTATAAACAAACAGCGCAATGAAATACAAAGTTTCATGAAATCCAGTGCCAGATATTTGGAAATAACTATTGTGCTTATTTTATCCTTTAGAAAAAAATCTAAAAGATTAAAAACAGAAACCAAGCAACAGACATCCCTTCCGATCTTTACCATCCAGTACACAATGTAAATAAAATAAGTAACTAAGTCTAATATCGATCAGAATTGTTCATTTTTAGTATGACAACAAGTTATAATGTGGATGCATTGCTCACTTGATCCATATGCATAAACACTGATCCAATCTTGAATGGTATCGACTGGACATTTGTATCATCCAAAAGCAGCACCTCATCAGCGGCATCATTCAAATTTTGAAGATCCTTATTCATTTCCTGAAGCTTATCCTGAAAAAATAAACTAAATTTTGTACATCACAGAAGCAAAATTTTGCAGTGCTTTAATTTCAAAATTTAATAGCAATAGATACAAAATAATATCATATGCAATAGTATTTCGTGAAGGGAAATAAAATTTGAGGTCATACAGAGATAGTTTTAAGAGAGAATCTGAGAACTTTATGCTTGATATTCGTCTCGACCATGAAGGAAATCAGGAGGAAATCTATCATTTGGTGAACTAAAACCTATATAAGTAAGGCCCAATTGCATTGAAAAAAAAACCCTTAAATCATATCTACATTAAAAAATAGTGTCTATCTTACCTTAATATCTAGCGATCTTTGATGAAGCCTAGCGAACCGATTGATTAGTTTCTGATCCTCGGCATTCACATAAATATTTTGTTTCATTGTACCTGTAGCCATCTCAGTAAGCACCGCAACTGACAAAAAAATGAGAATGAACACTACTTGACCACCTCGCACAACAATCTTAAGCATCCACAAATTTCGTGTGTTCGAAAAAAAAAAAAACGGCCAACCATCAAATACCGAACGGGAAACCTTCCTTTTCGCTCCTCCCCAGGAATAGGCATGCGTTTCGTTTTTCTTCAATGTCTGTCATAACCCTGTCCCCGGTTCGTTCGGTATCGCACTACCGTGAGTCTCACGTCCTGAAATCACAGGAGCAAATCTTCTTAACATGAGGTCAATACCGCACATCGAACGGAATGAAACATTGGATAGAGTGGGTAGTTTGGGTAGTTCAGAGAATAGGGAGACATGTTATTCGGATGAATGTTGGGGTGTGGCTGTGTGCGTGTGTAGTGCATATGTATGGCTTCCATTCTCTCTGATGTTTAGTGAATGTTATTTTGCGTCTGTATATTTTATTTTACATGTAGCAATAACTGATATTGAACTAAAATTATTTTCAGCTTTTAAATCGGAATTGGAAATGCTCGTCTCCGATTTTAATGAACACTTCCCGTTATAGGCTGTAGCAAAATTGGGAAGAACTTACTGCACAAGATGGTGAAAATCGATCCATTTCAAAAAGACGAAATGTCCTCTTCGACAAAATGTGGACAACTTGAATTAAAAGGATGCGATGATGCAATTAATGTAAGCCTTATCCAATTAGCTTTTCGTTACCAATAATTTTGACCGTCTCTTTGCTTGTAAATCCGGGAAAGTGACCTGGTACGTCTCAGGCAAGAGATCATCTTAATAGTTTTGTGTCATTTTTTCTCATTTACAAAAAGTAGAAACATGGAAAATCGTGAGATAGCATATCGAATAGCACGTTTGCAAGTGCAGAGTTCTTATCGGCTGGATTCGTTACAGCGCTTAAATGCTCACACATTCCTTTTAACTGCAATTTGTGATTCATATATATATAGAAACCATGCACATATAATGCTGATAACTTTGACCCACATTTGCTTCCTCGTACTAGTTGTAATGTGATATCTAATCACTAAAACTGTAAAAGACTCACTTACTCACTTCATTTTAAGTTTTCAATAACATACTTTGTGGGCTTTTTTTTGTTTCTTGTTATTACGCATCATTTTCGGTGGTTTTGAACTGTTAATAGCACTTTTGAATTCTGAGTTTCTTAATAATAAATTATTAATATTTCTCTCTCCTCTGCGGAGTGTAAATACTGCAGTTTTACATATTTATGCATTTTGATGTTTTGGAATGAATAAAACTCGATAGTCTCTCTTAAATATTAGGTCACTTTGTCATGATCTTACAGAAGGTTATCGCAGAAATATCTTCGCTCCACAGCCTCACCTACATGACTACATATGCTTTTATGAATCTTCGATTGGAACAAAGCAGGTTTATGTGATTCTCTGTGTAGGAAATTATCATTCGATTTTTTTCGTTGATCGAAATACAACAAATATCCAAGGCACACAAAGTTTCCACTACTACTTGGTGCAACTGAAGTATCTGAAATTTAAAATTTTGTGGAAGTCAAGGAGTTCTTCCTTGATTGAAATGATCGTCGAGTAATCAAAACTTTAGATAACAATTTGAACTTTCTTCACTCTTTAAGACTAAATGAATTTCTTCAAAACCATGTGAAATATCTTTTTATTGATAAATGGGACTCTTATGGTATTTCTCGTTCATTTTTAAATGTCATAACTTTCCCATCTCTAATTTACGTGAAAGACTGAGGTAGTTGTTCCTCTACAGAAATAATGGATGTGTGGTCATAAATCATCTAGGTGTTTTAATTTAAATATGTGTAGAAGTAAGCTTTTATAATTGGTTTCTTTGTATCATAAGTAACTCGTATTCCTCTTATCAGACTTAGCAACTGCGGCAGGAGTTTGTTATCAACAGTAAATACTTCTAGGAGCTGTTTTCATTCAGGAAAAAATGTTGTTGCTCACTCGAACTGATCTTTAAACTACACTGTTAGTTTGGTTTCATTAGTATCTTATCTTGCACGACAAACATCATGTTATCCGCACATTTTAGTGGACTGGGTAGTTGCATTACATCGCTTGCGGATAAGTTGGAAATGAGAAGTTACTTGAACATTCAGGGGATTTTTCATTGAAGTAAGTTTTATTGATATAGTATTTCCAAATAATATATGGGAATACGGATTATTTCTAAGTAATATATTTTTTCATTTATCTATCGAGCAGATCTTATCAAATATCCTATCTTTATAATATTTCTGGTGTCTCATATCATTTAGTTAATAGAGTGCATTTATCAGGCAATTATGTTAGCTGTACTACGTACTATTATCTCTTTTTTTTAAACTGTTGTCCAAGCGGTGGAACAAATATAAATTGGCATTCTTCTTGATGGATCGTTTCTTCGGTTGATTCATTAACATTTCTCAGTTTTTGATATGTACTCCTGAGAATTTATGTTTGAGAAAAAGATTGATCACGGCATCCCTAAGATTCATCTCTTTGGCGAGTCGTTATCTCATTGCGCAGTACTATTTTGCTGGTACTTTTTGGAAGTGACACTTTTGTCTCTATTTTGTCGGCTTTATCATGCACTTTTTTTTATGCGGTATTTTTTATATTTTTTCAAAGTGTAACATTTAGGTTACCATTTTTTTCTTTTATTTTTTCAATTTTTAATTATATTTAGGAACTACTTTTCACTTTCATTGATGTGCAGTTTTCAAGCTAATTATTTACTTTTAGTGTGTGTTGATATAGCACTTTACAAACAACTGCTTTATCAAGAAAAGGGGGCAGGAGAGAGGGAGGGAGCCGAAAGATTGCAATAATTCCATGTTGGATTCGAAAGATAATTATCGGTCATGCTTTTTCTTTTTATGAAAATTTTTTCAAATATTTGGGGAATATGCGCAATGATATCAGACTTGTTATACGCTTAGAAATGATCGCAGTTAATAACTAGAACAAAATTTATAGTTTGTCCTTAATTGATTTTAATTGCTTTGCAAGTTTGTTTCAAACCTTTAAGGCTTTTGATATTTTTAAAATTTTTAATAATAGAAATTGATGTTTTGCATAATAATGGATTTTCAACTCATATGAGGCCACTTCGTCAGATTGTGTTTTGTGTACCGTCTCAAGTGGAGACGTAATATGCTGTTTGTTTGTTATAAAAGACATGAATTTGCATTTCCTTAATTTGCAGGCATCAAATTATAAGACAAAATTGATACATGCCTCAGGAACTATCTTCAGGAATAGAACTTTGTGTGCACGGATAATAAATGGTAATGATTATCATTTTCATGTTCTCTATGGAGGTGCTTAAAACAAAAACAATCTTAATGATTGCTTTTATCGACAGGGAATTTGTTGTATATTAATGAGTGAGATGGTTTTTCTTTGAATTCCGAAATTTAGGAAGAACTTCGGTTTTAGAGTTGAGTACTCGCTTCACTCATAATAATGAACTTTTTTGTCAAACTTTCATCCTTATCAGAAGAATAGTCACATTGTTTACATTTTTGGAAATACGTTACTTTTGTTATTAAAGTTGTTTCTTAATTTCTTGCTGAGATATTTTTGTTTTTTTAAGATGATATACTTTTATAAATATTCTTTTTAGACCTAAACAAGATTAGGAGGTTTCCGAGGCACCTGAGAAAATTGTTCCGTATTCTTCTACTTTCGGTTACTGCTTTCATTGTTTTGTTCGTCTTCACACATTCCTCGAAATACTCAACAGATACAGCATATTGGGTTGAGGAGCCTATTGATTATCCATCGGTTGTTTTTATAACTAATTTCTACCTGTAAAATAATAGAAATAGCTGACTTAGCTTTCTTATAGTTCTAATTAGTGCACGGAAGGCAAACTTATTTTGCTTCCGCAAAGCATGATTGCAACTGCAGTTGCATTTAAACTTACATAGAATTTCCTCATATATCTTCATCCGAAAACTCGATTTGTACTTACCACAGATTCATTTAAGCATGGGCTATTCATATTTGATTTTGTCAAGTCTACGACCCCACTTTGAAGCACCACTTTTTCCTAATTTCAATTATGTGATGTGACTTGCTCTACATTTTCATATTTTCCAGTTGCCACGTATAATAGTATTGGGTGCTGATACAGTTGAAATGAGGAAATCAGTCACTCAGAGTCACATTTCCAGAAAATTTGAACAGGTGTTAATTTTATCTATTTTTCTAGATAGATAGCTTAATGATACTAGCCGTGATTGACCCTAGTCATGGATCATTTTTAGGAAGGTGCTAAAAGTTGATATACGGTTTTATTCAACCTACATTCGTCCCACCATACATGCAATATACCAGTTCTAGTAAAAGAGGAGCACACACCATGCTATTTTTTTATGTCAAAATCAATCTACTTCAACGAATGTATTTTCAGTCGTGTCGCATTCCGAAGTTAAATATTAATGGTAGTGAAGTTACTGGGTTTTTTCATCATGTGGATGCGCTTGACTGTGGTAAAAATAAAGAGAAAGAGTGGGCTTATGTTGACGAGAAGGGATTGTTCACTATATCATCTGATGCTATCAAGTAAAATTGGTTTGATCACTTGTTTTGTTTTATCTTACAATAACTGTCGAATTGGTTTTCATGCTAAGCTTCTTTCCTAATTTTCCCTAAAGATTAAATAATTTTTGAAATTTTATAGACTTCATGGTGACATCAAATGTACTGTTGCCTATTTTGAACGCTTTAATGACAATAAATTGAAAATCGACCGTCAAATTCCAATTACATCTGGTAGTCCTATGATCAAAGATTACGCTGTTGTAGAATGCACTGGAGATGATCAAGAAAAGTGGTTTGTTTTTGTCAAGAGTGGGATTTTTAAGAGCTAGTTGAAAGTCTTTCCCAGCTTTTTCTAATTATAATTTCTGAATGGATCATTTTCCATTACGTATTATAGATTTCATTATATGGATTTAAATATACAAACGAAATGCCTATGAAGTCATTGTTAACTCATAACATTTTGCACCGAATTCCAATCTAAGAAAAGAATTGGGAAATGGTCATGCCGAAATTTTAAGAAGCATAAGTCATGCTAGAGATATTACATTATTTGGAGTTTTAAGATT